CAGCCCACCGAACTGCAACCCTTCCCCCCCACGACTACGCCTCAATATCCTGTCCATGAAAGTCACAAACAGGATTGGTGACAAAGCGCAGCCCTGGCGGAGGCCAGCACCCAGTGGAAACGAGTCCGACTTACGACCAAGAATCCGGACACAACTCTCGCTTTGGAAATACAGGGATTGGATGGCCCTGAGAAGTGCCCCCTCACCCCATACTCCCGCAGCACTTCCCATAGGATATCCTGGGGAACCCGGTCATATGCCTTCTCCAAATCCACAAAGCACATGTAGACCGGATGGGTATATTCCCAGGCCCCTTCCAGGACATCTACGAGAGTCATCTCTTCAATTAAAGGGTCGACAATCAACCGAACCCTAGCAGTGTGATGCCTCTGTAGTTTGCACACACCCTCTGGTCCCCTTTTTAAATAGGGGAATCACCACCCCAGTCCACCACTCCTTCGGCGCTGTCCCCAACTTCCACACAATGTTGAAAAGTCGGGTCAACAACAGCCCCTCAACAACAAGCCTTCAGCATTTCTGGGCGATTCTCTGTTGATCCCCCATCATCTCAATATTGACCAAAATAATCATGATTATGATTTTTGTTATAATCGAGCAGCTCTACAGAGATAATTTTTCTAAATTGAAAAACACAACAACCACAAAACAAAAAAATAACATCTCAAGAACCTCAGATTTGTCGTGCAACCTCTTGGTTCTTCCTACAGCTCAGGTTCCTAGCAGGTCCCCATAGTGATCCCACTGCGACACGTAACGTGCTGACAGAGAAGCAACATAAGCATTCAGAAGCATCATGGCATTTAATGCTGCCACAGTAGTCCACAATCAGAACTCAGCGGGCTCTAAGCCGAGGCCAACAAGGGGACGGCTGCAGTGCTGTCCCTGCCAGATGGACATATGGACGGACAGCTTGACAGACAGCCACGTTGTCTGAGTTCAGAGCTTACCGTCAGCTGCAGATTTATGGGTGACCTCACGGGACTAGAGACGATCACTGCTAATAGGTAAGACGTGTAAAGTGAGAGAGAGTGGCCCTGCTGGGTAGAGGTGTGCTGATAATGCTGACCCACCACGCAGACACACACTGCACAGTGTGTACACAGCCAGGGACCAGCCACCTCTGGCTTTATTAAAGGAACAGTACAGCATGGGAAAACATTTCAATTGCTTTCTTTCCACGAGTGAGAAGAGAACATTGGTATCAGTCTCATGTCTGTGTATAAAGCAAAGAGCTGTTAGCCTAGCTTAGCATTAAGACTGGAAGAGAGGGAAACAGCTAGCCTGGCTCTGTCTATATGCATACAAACAGAAATGTATCTTTAAGATATAATTTTCCAGGAGTTTTCTTGACAATACAGTGCAGCACTTGCTCTTAAATGGTGATATAATTTACCAGTAGTCCCAGTATTGACACATTTCACTGCAGTTTTATTCCTCCATAATGAAGTATCAGGCGGCCAGAGCTTATTAGACAATCCGCTTTAGCTTGCTTTCGTGGTACTCTTGGATCCAGATTTTTCCTCTGTGGTCTCTCCTCTGTTGACTACTGTAACGTCAATAACTGGACGGCGATAAGAATGCTAGATAGTCTGTTCCTGATAAGCCCACTTTCACTTATCATAGTGTGCAGCTCAGCCTACCAAGAGTGGAGTTTCAAACTAAATACACACTAAATACTATTAAAACTTTCCAGGACGACATAGATTATTTCCAGGATCTTTGGTCATTTTAATCAATTTTCCAGGTATTCCAGGTTTTCCAGGATTTCCAGGACATCCAGGACACATGGCAACCCTGTAGGTAGGTGTGTTTTTTGGACCCCTACCTACAGGGTTGTGCATATACATGTATATATTGAAAACAAGTATAAAGGGATGCATGATCATAAATGTCATACAATCATATTGCAATTATTTTGATAATGTGATTGCAGTGGAGTTAGTTCACCGAGCTGAACACATGAACTGCTCGGCAAAATTTTAAATTGTTCACTTCAAAACATGAATATTTCCCAAAAGTCTTGGTGAAGCAGAGCAGAGTGGCAGTACAGAGCGTCAGTGGCCTCACACAACACACGCCCAAAATCAGGTGATGCGTGGTTTAATAGCCGAGTGGAAGCACATTTCAGCTCAAGCCAGAGGCCTAGACCTGCACCTCTGGAACCCTTAACTGAATGAAGTCAATTTAAAAAAACTGCTTCATGTGTCACCAGTTGATTGCGGGTATCTCATTAGAGATTATGTAGCCAGGTTATTTTTGGAACTATTTTGTGTCAACATATTCATTCAGCATTCTTTATAGAACCACTTTCCCAACAGAGAGGGGTGCAGTAGCACTCCTCTGATGCATGAAAACTATCAAAACCACATCAGATCACCATAACACTCACAGCTGTTTGAGTCACACTGGTGGGAAATCTCACCAGTCACAGTGACCTGTGTGGACCAGACTGGCCTTTTATTCCATATCAGATATCAGACTGAAAAAGCTGGCTGGTTCACTAGCTTACAGTCTTGATTTTCTGTTTTGAGTTGTCACAATTGGGAACCTGCATGTCACACATTTGCTGGTTGCAGCTTCTTAAACATGAGGATTTGCTGCTTTACTTAGTCATTTATGAAAGTAAATATAGAGTATCTAAACAGCAAAAAAGGAATCTCAAGAAAATAAAAAAAAATACTTGTTTCTGGGGAATGACACTTTTTTTTTTGTCTGAAAGAAAAGCAATCTTGTCAAGCATGTTTTGCATTAGAAAAGTACCAGTAACAAGTTCCAACATTGCTTTGCAGAATATCCCAGCAGAGGAACAAGATTATTTTTCCTATTTTAGGAGGAAGACCACTTGCACAACTTCTCAGATAAACAGAAAGTAGTCTTGTCCCAGTGTTCTAAATGAAGCAGCTGTTTAGTTTTTCATTGTTTTAATAAATAATGCTAGAAATACATAAGAATGCTTCCGGTGCCTTCATTTAAGACAAAGTCACTTGTGTCTTATTGTAAGATTTTATTTGTTAATTATTCATTGCTTGTAATAATCATAACTTCCTTACATTTGTTTTTCTAGTTTTAAGGCCCATTACAGTCTTTCTGTGCCTAGATTTGTATTCTAGTTTTAAGAATTCTAGCCAAGCAAAACTGGCTTACCCCATTGACAAGAATTATTATTTGCATCACAATATGATGAGGTTACAGCTCTTTAAATGCTGAATAAAACAACACAGGGGGCGGTGTGCACCTCAGAATAGACTGTGTGATGTTAAACAGTGGTCCGGGTCAGTGGCAGCTCTGACAGCTGGAACGTGTTTCTGAGGACAACCAGACCGCAGCAGCTACGATAAGTGAGGCACCCGCCGACACACCCTGAAAACATCGTGATCCATCCCTCTGCCCCTGAATCATCCATTTCCCACCTCACAGCCTAATGTCATTTCTATTGTACGGCCTCCCATCAGCCAGACGCAACAGCGCACGTCACTGGGTGGAAAAGCCTGGAGCCACCGTGGCACCAATCTGTGCGCACTGGTTGTTACTGCACTGACACACAGCTTCTAAAAGTCTAGCTATTATAGAAATCATCAGTATATTCCTAGATTTCTTTAGTCTTAATATCTGACTGTAACATTCTGTATGTTATTACTCCTATCCACTATCATTACACTAAATCTTCCTGTGAGGACTGTGATATAAACACACTCTGTTCCCTAGAACTTTCAAGACATTTACAAAATCCAAAGGCTGGCAGCAGGGTTGAATATAAAATAATAATATATCAATTCATCTAGAGCTGAAAAGATTTACTTTCGGCAGAAAATGATCAGACAAAACAAGCAATTTGATTATTCAACATTGCGATGGACATTTTATAGACTAATCAATTTGATTGTTTTTCCCACCAACAGTTCAAAAGCCAAAGATATTCAGTTTAGAGTGATATAAAACATTTTAGAAGCTGGAGCCAGAGAATGGTTTAAGGCTGATAAATGATTTAGACACTCGATGAAGGATTTTTAAAACTTTTGCAGGGTTTCTACAGGTTTCAACATGTTTAATTTAAGTCTGCAATTTAAAACCTATTTAACGTTCACAATGACCAAAAAAAAAACTAAATGCAACTTTTTACAAGTAATATTTACTTAATTAATCCAACCAATTGTTAAGACCTGTGAAAGTCATACTAAAGACATTTTAAAATATTTTAAGGCCTACAATTCCTATTATTGGATTTCAGACTTTTTGGGACTGCGTGGACACCCTGTCTTGTCAGTTTATTTTCTGTCAATCTACTATTAGGACCAATTCTTTCAGAAATTAACAAAAACAAAAGAAAACATTAGCCTCATTTTCAATTTGAATGATCTCAGACTACACCCAAGGTAACATGTTTAAATTTCTAATTGATCATTTTCTATTGATTAAGGACTCTTACATTAAAGCTGCAGTATTTGTTTTTCTTCTTTTTTTATAGTGAAAGTTCCAGCAAAAATGACAAAAAGTTAATTTTATAATTGATACCTACTGCAGCTTTACTTGACTAATTATTTCATTTTATACACATTTTAGACACTTTACAAACATGGCGTCAAAAACCTAACTTTCTACCTAAATATTATACAATTAGAATACTCGACTAACTAAGAAAAGAGACACACAACAAAATAAAAATACAACCAGGCATGATAATCTGCTGAGTGCGGACAGTGTGAAATACACTGTATAATACACTGTATCACCACATAGGGCATAATCAATAACAATGAACAGCTTCCCATCAATTAGTCTAGGCCCCTTAGAACACAGACACATCCCAGAAGATGGATGAGTAGCTGCCTGAGGACCACAGACACCCTGTAGTCCCTGTATCAACAGTAACAGTATCCCTCCATCTGATATCAGAGAGGGTTCAGGCTGTCTGTTGGCCCGTTGCAGCCTCACAACAGCCGCCTGTGTGTGAATGACAGCGGGTAGCAGCAGCTCCTTACCTGTCAGGCAGGTGCTCAGCGCCAACAGGGCCGCAAACACCGCAGCCTGGCCGAGCAGCGGGGCCCGCATCCTGGCCACAGCTCCGACGACTGACAGGGGGCAAGGAGACCGACTGAAGGAGGAGCAGGAGGAGGAGGAGGCGGCGGAGGGGAGTCGGTGCTGATCATTCCCCCATCCCCCGGTGTTCAGGGAGGAGAGGACTCGAGAAAAACGGAATAAATAACGGCAACAACAAGTACACAACCGTTCAGGAGAGGACCGAAGCGGCGGCAGCGATCATCCGGAGCCTCCTGGTGCGTGTTTGCCGCAAGGTGTCTGCTCTTCTCCGCGGACCTGCAACATGGATGCACACCGATGACTGGCTGATTGATCGGGGTTGCTTCTGCTGAGCTGTGGCAGAGGCACGCAAGTGTGTGACGTCAACACGCTGCGCTCCCTCCGTGCTGCCTTCAGGTGCTGTTATAACCAAAGACACCCACGTTTAAAAAATACTCTCCACTCCACTTGGTAAAATTGATTCCGTCTGTAGCTCTAAACATAGATGTAGGGTGTCTTCCTCCACGCAGCAGGCTTTCTCTGCTACTTCTGTTATGTAGCAATCACAGGGTTTCACCATTGACAGTATGGGCTATATATTTCATACACATTTCTGACCTCTGCCTCAGATTTTCTATGGGAGCCAGTGTGACAGCAAAAAAGATTGTGTAAGTCATTATAATGAGAAATTTTCTCCAGATATTGACTTAGTATCTCAAAATACTGAGAAATCCTCTTAATATTATAAATATAATAAAATATTGACTTTTCTTCTGATATACTTCGTCATTATTTTGAGATACTAAGTCAATATTTGGATTTGAATTACTTACAGAATCTTTTTTCCCCTCACAGTGGCAGAAATGGGCTTCCATAGATTTCACATCACATTTGTCATGAATCAGTATATTTATTATATATTATATATTATTTAATTGAGCCAAAATTTAATTTCCTGTTAGATTCAGGATGTAGACACTGAGGGGTACTATTATCACATGGTGATAATACTTTATTGTCAGATCAAGTCGGAACATTTTTTGCATCACAGCAGCTCTATTTGAAACATCACAGAAAGAAACAAAGGTTCATTCATTTACCATAACATTACAACAACAGGAGACGCGGTTCATGGCCCTTCAATGTATATTTGATCTGGGATCAAGCGGCATATTTAAAGGGCCAGTGTGTAGGATTTGATGCCATCTAGCGGTGTCGTTGCAGATAACAACTCCTCCCTTCACCCCCCCCTTCCAAGTGTGAAGGCTATTTGAGGGGCGAAAAAATATAAAGGTAATAGAAAAATTAATTTCCACAAGCGTGTGTGGATGGGTGGCATGTAGTGTAAAAGCACTTTGAGTGGTGGAAAGACTACAAAGGCGCTATATAAGTACAGTCCACTTACCAAGCTGAATTCATAAATTGTTAAAAAACCCACCACCACAAACAAAATCCTATTCACCTCCATGCCCGGCTAGAAGCAGAAAGATCAGAGACAGATATTTCAAAACCTGGACAAATCAAAACTACCACATGACTAAATGCCTCAGATTTCTTTTTGTAATTTGGTGAATTGACTGTTGAAGCACAACACAGGGATTAAACTCTTTAGGGTAATACTTCTCATTGATAATGCTTTGGTGCTCTCTGGTGGCACAAAGGTAAACTGCAAAAAGTGAGCCTGCTGCTGATCAGCTGCTCAGGATGGGACATCTGGCGCTGGGTCCTATCTGAGGAGACAGATTTAATCAGAAATAACTGATGGTATCTAGAGCATATTTAATGAGAGTTCAGCGGTGACACTGGGCTCCAGGGCCACAAAAACAGCTCTGGTCCAGTCCCACTTAAGGAGGTGTTGAGGGAATAGTCTCCTCCTCCACTCGTCTTGTCACTGGGTGTCGGTCCATCTGCCTGGATCCTGTGCTCCAGGCAGCAAAGCTCCCAGGAGTCATCTGGACACCAGCCTGACCCACGTCAGACATATTAGCCTGACTGACTTGTTGGACAGAGTCTGCTGCCATTGTGCATATTGGCTGATAAACAAAATGGCTGCTGTGAAAAAGGTATATTGTCTACTTACAACCTCAACTTGTGGAAAAATCTGCACACAGACACTGTGGACATCAATAATCGATGTTACAAAAATTACATATGTGAGCTTATGTGGTAATTTAGGATCAGTACAGCCATCTATGAGACAGATCATATAGTTATAACCAATAAAAAAGCTATTCTTTCCTGAATTTAATTCCCACACATTTATGATATAAGATGTTTAAAGGGAAAATAGGAGTGAAAACAGATGTGGTTAGTGATATTCAGTTTGCTGTGTCAGACTTATTAAGCAGGCTGCTAAGCAGCAAGAGGTATGTTTATTAAATGTAACAGAAAAGAATCATGGTGGACATTTTGACTGGTATAATCAGTAACTTGCAACAGTAAGTTGCAAATTGCAACCATTTGAATAAAGCTCAGCCTTCCGAGCATGGAGGAGAAACTATGGTGGCCGTAACACTGAAAATGCAAAAGGCCTTATCTAGAGCCAGTGTTTGGTTTGTCCTTTCTGGGCTACTGTAGAAACATGGTGGTTCAACATGGCGGACTCTGTAGAAGAGGACCCACTCCATCTGTAGATATAAACAGCTCATTCTAAGGCAACAAAAACACAACGATTCTTATATTAGGGGATTATACACTAATGAAAATAGACCTTGTTACCATCTGACAGGTCGAAATATTCAGGAACGTTTTATGACACCGTGGTGGCATCTGTTATCTAGTGTGCAGGGGAGGTAGAAGCTCAGAGAGGGACAGAAAAACAGTCAAACTAGTAAAAAAAAAAAGGGGCAGCTCTGTCCTGGACTGCCCCCTTGACTCCATACAGGAGGTGGGTGAGAGGAGGATGTTAGATAAGCTGACGTCAGTCATGAACAACACCTCTCACCCCCTGCATGAGACTGTGGGGGCCCAAAACAGCTCCTTCAGCAACAGACTGCTGCACCCACATGACATAACACAGCACTGTCTGTTGTCTCTGTCACATCACCCAACACTTACAACATCACAGCTACTTTCACACCATTTATCATATATTTACTTCAGGTTAGACATCCTACTAAGTATGTATATACTTCTTATTATATATACACATATTTAATCTTATAATTACACATTGAAATGTTTATATTATACCTGTACTGTGCAATTATACCTATATTTATTTAAATTATACTCATTTACACCGTGCAACTATCTCCCGCTGTAATCTTGTACAATCTTGTACAACAATCTATCTTTCAAAACAATATTTATTATACAAATATATATATTTACATTTAAAAAAGTGTATGTTCTCTTTTCTATTACATCTTCTATGTTTCCATTTATTTTTGACTTTGTGTATTTTTTCTAATCTATCACTCTGTGTTGTATCTGGAGTTGCTGTAACAAGTGATTTTCCCCAGTGTGGGATCAATAAAGCCCATCTTATCTTTTCTCTGATGGAGAGCTGGGCGGTCGGGGTGAACTGGTGAAGTTTCTAATCTTATGATTTAGTTTGAAAAAGCTGGAATCTCACATAACCTCCAAACCTGGAAGTTTTAATCCAGTGAATCAAAGGCATTCACATTCTCCCACACACGCCTCCCACAGTACTGGAGATGAGTAGGCTGGCTCTCAGCTCCCAAACTGAGTAATGTGTGTGAATGTGGGTTTTGTAAGAGAACACGCCTACTGTCCCTCCTGTAGTGACTACAAAGACCAGGAAGACAAACTAATAATAATTAATCAATAATGATTTATTATCAATAACAGTCATTTGTATTACACAAGGGTAAAATAAATCTAAAAGTACATTGGTCAAAAAAAAGAGAAGGGGGTGCAAAATAATAAATAAATGGAGAGATCAGCTAAGGCACTGATGGCGTGATATAAAATTATGTAAAATAACAGTTTGGTAGTTCACTGGTCCATAAGTATTTATACATAATATACACAAGCTTTCTTTATTAAGGGATAAACTCATAAAATAGTGTTATTCCCACCAACAGGAAAAGAAATTGTCATGTCTTGAGTCATCAGCGTATACATGGACAATTAATTAATTATAATGAAGTTTGAGATTAAAAACAGACTTTTCCACATTCTGGAAAGCATTTTCTGTTGGCCAATCAGGTCCAGTAATAACCAATAAGTGAGTTTCCAACAGCACAAACTGTATTTACACCAACAAATGCCATAAATAAAATCCAATTGCTGATGATTACTGAAGGCCACAGACTTGGGAGCTAAATCACCAAAGGCACCTCAACAGGGGTGTTGTTGCAACTGGTCACATGCTTATAACACACCATTAGGAACTCGAGGTCGTCCACTGTGCTCACATTTTTACCAGGTGAAGAGAAAACGTGTGGAACTTGTGTGTGCGCGTGTGTCTGATGGAAGGCTGTGAAATTCATGCAGAAAGAAACAAGATTTAAAAAAAAAAAAAAAAAAAAAAGACGACAACACCTGAGCCCTGCTCGGTGGAAATAATCTGCTGAGTCACTACTATGCCCGAAACTGGTGTGGAAACTGAAAACTGGTGGGCTAAAACGAGTCTTTAACAAAAGCAAAGAAAAAAGAGCAGGATTCAGTTTAGGTCAAACAAACAGGAATCATTTCCTCACTGCTCTCTGGTCTCAGAGTCACTGGTTTTGGTCTCTGCTTCTTGGGCTGAGCCAACACTCTTCTCAGGGTGCTCCTCTGCGGGCTGCGGGCTGGGGGCCTCTTCCTCCTCCTCACCCTCCACCCCTTCACTGGTGGGAGACTGGAAGCCGCTGTCGTCCTGTGGAGGCGGGGGGAAGTCAGACGGCGCCTCCGGAGTGCTCTCTGGAACCACCTCTGTGGCCCCGGATGGGACTTCCTCGGAAGGAGGCGGCGGTGGCAACTCCTCCTCTGACACCTCCTGGTTGGAGGGCAGTTGCTCCTCCACTACCGTCATCGGCTGGCTGTCTTCTCCCTCACCCTTCTCCTCTAAGGCTGAAGCACTTTCTGTGGCTGTTTCAACCCGCAGCGGGACTCCTCCTTCAGCCTGCTCCTCTGGTTTGGCCTCCTCCTCCTTCAAGACAGAACCATTTGACAAGTCTGGAGGGTTCTCTGAAGATTTGGGACTTGCTGATCCATTCTGATCAGGAGGAGAAGCTTTACAACCCGAGCTCTCCTCTCCATCTCCATCTCCATCTCCATCTCCATCCTTCTCCTCCTCCTCTTCCTGCTCCTCCTCCTCCTCCTCTGGGATGTCGTTGACACCGGGTACCTCTATGCATGACTCGCCAGGCAGGACTGGGGAGCCTTCCACCTGGATCATGGAGACTACCT